CTTGTTTAAAAATTGTAAAAGAAACAATTGAATTAAATATGATCATGAAAAATATTGACGAAGAGAGAAAAAGATTGTGCAAATTTTTGATAATGTTATTTATGCAACACTTGAAATATTTTCATCCTGAAATTACTAATATATTTTGTTCGAATTTTAAAACAATTCGTTTCTGATGATTTATTTTTTTCGTAGCATTGATTTCAGCTAGTTAGACTAATCAAATGACGAAAAGAAATAATCCATTCGATACAAATTCCTTCAGTTTTATTTAAATAATTAAGTTTTACATTCATCATAAAAAGGAAATAATTTCGTGTTCGAGAATGAAATATTCTTTAATTCGTTATTTTTTCATTGCTAAAAGAATGAATATTGAGAAATATCTTTGCCGGATGTATTATCAATCAATACGTTTTGGAACAGTTGTGGTCACCACGGCAACCACCGCCAATGAAATATTCCATTAGCACTTTTCCCTTTTATTATTATATTTCAATTCAATTGTAAATTTAGACACATGTGCATACGAATATAGTAAAGTTTAACTTTATTTCGTTAAAAGTATAATTAGTATAATTATTTTAATGTATTGCAAAAGGCACATTTCTAATTTTCGTCCCATTATTTAAAAGATTTTAAAGCGCGTATATTTGAATATTTTGTATCTTAATGGGCTTTATAGTTTATTTGCTGCAACAAAATAATAAAACAAGGATTACACCTTTGAAAATTTTCTACCTTAGTATTCATGTTTTCCTTTGCTTTGGCCAATTTGTAGAACTAAGATTGTAGGAGAGTATTTTACAATTAATGTTAGTCGTTTTTTTTCAGAACTGATATTGTCACTTTTCTTAGTTACCTTATATCCAGAAAACTTTCACAGATCAATTTGATCTGTGGAAGTTTTCTGGACTTAAGAAAAATTTTAGCTAGTCAACTTAGATTTGCAAATTTCCACAGATTAATGAATACAAACTAATGAAAAATTTTTCGAACGAAAAGACTTATGATCGTTACTAATTGTAAGTGATTTTTATAGATTTTTGGCGTTAGTCATCTAATAATCATAAATGCAAGGTTTAGAAGTCTATGAAGACTAGAAACTACAACTTTGTCCTTACCACTTTAAAAGTAATCCGTGTATTTTGATGATTACACCTTCTTTCTACGACAGTTGTCAAACCGTATTTTTAAACATTCAATTTTTTTTGCTTGCATTTTTTTGAATAAGGTTTCTATACAAAAAAAAAAAGAAAAATGATAGAAGAAATGGAGCGAGCTTTAAATGCTACCGACCAATTCTTAGATACTGTTTTACAGGTGAATGATTTGTTGTTTGCAAATATTTTATTCCTCTTCTCTAATAAATTTCCGACCTCTTTACAAATTTAGTCATGCAAATTTTATTTATATAAAATATATGCATCAATTTGAACGTTGTGCAAATTAAACAACAGTTAAATAGAGTAATAAATTTAATAAATAATTAATTATTAGTGAATTAAATAAATTATTGGTAGAAAATTTTGCCAATAATAACATTAAAAAAAAGATGTAAATTTTGCAATTTCAGGATAAAAATCGTTTAAAAGATCCATATTTTATGATGTATTTAATGCGTATACGACAAAAGCATAAGAAAATTTTTGCGGTAATTAACGAACTCTTCTCGTCCCACTCTGTCACACCAACAAAAATTCACCGTACTGATATTGTTGATGAGAAATGTTGTGGTCAGTTTATACTGAATTTACCAGTAGGAGGTGTTAATGATAATGAAAAGTAGAATGAGTGGCTGATAATTTGAGACTTTGGGATAGTTTGTAAGAATGCAAGGAATGAAAAAATGAAAAATTCCAATAAAAAAAATCAGTACTTTTATGAAAAAAATATCATTTTTAAGAAAAAAGGCACGAGAGAGAGACATTAATATTTTGGTAGATTTTGACAAGAGCCCTTTTGACAAGAAAGGAATTTTTTTAAAAAAATCCCAATACTTCTTTTTTAATTTTAAATCATTTTTCGGAATCGTACATTTTACGCATAGCAAACAAGTAAGGTAAAAATAATAGTTTGAAGAAAAGGAAAAAAGAAATGAAACTGTAACAATTTGAAAAAAGAATCAAATACTTAATTTTTGCCGTAATAGAATATTAATTTGCTATACTGTCTAATATCAATTATTATTATATTTTGCGATAATCTATTATTATATTTTATTCTTTATCACATCAATATTCATTGCTATAATCAAATATACTTTATATTTCATTACAACATTATTCTTTACATCATTGTCTCATTTGTAGAATTGCATTTACATTTATGTTTACTTATATTTGTATTTTCTCTATTTATATTGATGGTACAATTTTACTTTATTACTTATATCTGTTTTTGTATTTCCAATTATATTTGTAATGTTTATTGGTATGTATTTATATTTAGCTATTATTTACTATATTGGACATAATCTTATCGAATTCATGCAATTTGATTTACGCAGATGACGATAAAGATGCTTGGATTGTTAATGATGAGCGCAAACGTTCACGTTCGGTACAAATTCAAAGACGTAGAATGCGTGAAGAGCGAAGATTTGAATATGCTGAAGAACAGTTGTTACAAATTGCTAATAGCACGAATAATATCAAAAAACTACATTTGAGGTAATTATTTACTTAATGAAAGTCGTTTTTTTTTGGCCTTAGATTAATTTTACAATTCATTCGTTGCTTTACTTGTAAAAGTTAATCATTTTAGAAATTATTTCAAATTTCTTTTTCAGTCATCGTTTTAGAGTTTTGATTGAACATCAACTATTTTTGCAAAAGAGAGGAGAAAAATAAAAGAAAGAGAAAGCTTCATATTAAGGAATAATGCAAAGTCAACTCGAATATCTCATTCGTGGCGGCTTATCAATGAATTAAAGGAGAAAAAAAAAATTGAAGAAACGGAAGAAAAGAAAAAAATAACATATCTTCGGTAAGAATTTTAAAACATTTCGTGATGATTGAAAAATCCTTTCCATTCACATTAACGTATGTGTCATCACCGATGGATTAATCACCTTGTTAGTCTAAGGATAGAAAATCACTGAAAGTACGAGATACCTAAATTGCAGGAATAGAGTACCACGATCCACGTATGAACCACGTTATCAGCAATTATGTGAAAAGGAACAACACGTATGCTAGAGAACTGATTTATTTAAATTTGGTAGGGTATTGTAACTGATTTGTAAGAATGATTTCGGCGTAGGCGAAATGGATCTTAAACTTCGAGACAAATAGTTCGCTTGAATTTTGTCTGAAGGATATCTCTGCAATGAATTATCCCAATATATCTGTGATCCAAAAAAGAAAATTCTGTAAAATCAGGCCCGTGAAATGCGATATCAAAGAGCAATAGAAATGCCTAAAAAAGTACGCTTTCGACGAATGGCTGCAAAGTTTGAACCGGAAAGCTTTCATTTACGACGATGTATCAGTGCTGAAGCATCCGACTGGGATAAACGAGAAGCCTTTAAAGCAAAGGACGTTCCGCTTAGCGTCTATCTATCGCCATACAAAGATGAAATCCGAACATGTGAAAGGGAACGTCGGAAGATGGAACGAGCAGCTGAATTAATTCGAACAAGTCGCGCACCACCGGGACTTGAGGTACTGCTTTTGTCATCAATTTCGGACTTTTCGTTCCGGATCCAAACTGTGAAAAAAGTGAAAAAACCAAAATTGAAGAGAGTTCTAAATTAATAATTAATCTAAATTAATATGGATGAAATACCGGTTAAAAACTGAGAAATAAATATTAAATATAAATATGAATGTAATTTTTTAATTTTTCTTTTCAATTTCATAGAGGCAATTGCTATAGCTTAGAAGAAAGGAATTGGAAATAATGGAAATTAATAAAAATATATGAAAATTGGACGGATGTCAGAAAAATACAACAATGAGAAAGAAAAAATTAAAGCATTACATTCATATTTATATTTATTTTTTTCATATTTATATTTGATATTTATTTCTCAGTTTTTTTTTTTCTTCGGACTTCATTCCTAATGTTTGAGTCTCCTCAAATTGGTCCCATTGAAATAACACGAATGAACAGAAAAAAATTAAATAACGAACAGAAAAAAATTAGAATTTAATTTCAAATTTTTCCAAGTTTTTTCCTTACGTAATAAATTTTTTCAAAAAAATAATACATTATGATAAGGATTTGATGAATGATATTATTCTAAAAAGATAAAGATGAGGAAAAGTGAAATGATAAATAGTTTATTAGTAATTAGAAATAAAACGAAAAATTACTAATCATGTACACGAACTTACAAATATCAATTTATATCTATTTAATTAAAATTAAGATAAGCATAAATTGTTAAACTGAAATGTAGCGCATTACACAAATATAAATCTTCTATCAGTTTTGTTAAATTATTTCAATTATAGGATTTGAAATGAACAGTTAACTTATTACGTTTGAAATAAATAAATCTTTAGTTGTAGAAACATGCAATACAATCAAAAATAAAGCATCGTCTTCGACATGCAAAATATTGTATGGATCAAGAGCCGAACCGTAATATTTGCTATTCACGAACTGTATGTTAACTTTCGTACTTTAATAATAATTATGAAATCAAGGCAAAAATAATAATTATGAAATCAAGGCAAAAATTGCAATAATCGAATAATAATTTCAAAAAAATAGTTTTTTAGTAAATAAAAATTATTCTGCATTTCAATTGAAGTTGAAAAAATTGTTAATTGTAAATATACCACTTCACGACAAAATTCATATTTTATTTTAATTATACTTGGTGATTTCCGCGAATTTAAAATTTAATTTTGAGTAAATTGTAGTTTTAGAAAGTAAAAAATTAGAATTTGGTAATCAAACAGTTAATATATAACAAAGATAAATAAAACTTAATAGGAAGAGAAATAATTACAGGTAAATTAATTACTAAGCTTAATTTCATTCGAGCACAATAGCTATTGTACAGTGCAGCACTTTGTAGCATATAATCTTTTTATCATTTAAACAGCAATTATCATCACACATTGCCATCAATTGTACTTCCCAAATTTTCCTGTTTTAGGTGCCGAATTTTAAAAAATTGCATGAATTATTATTAAATAAATTAGAAAAAGCAGCGTCAAGTCGTCCTGTAACCGTTGTGACACCCTTTTACTTTCAAACCGATGAACGAATGAATAATCATAAAGTTTGTCTGTTTTTATTTTTCCAAATAAATCATTGGCTTATATTTTTTAGCCCAGATGATAATCATTTGGCTAATCATTTGTTCAAAATATAATAATATCATCCATTCATTCGTTTTACATCGAATAAACTGGAACAACATTATAAGCTAACCGAGAGTTCTCCATAAACGTCTCAATATCTATACATATCATTAAGCTGTAATTTGTATTATGCATCGTAAAAATTTTTATTACAAAATCATTAGAATACAAAATTTTAGTGCAATCATGAAAATTTGTTGCCAAGAATAAATCGTCGTAGTTATTCGACGGGTAATTTGCGAGAATACAACGGGCCTGGGATACGTCTTAATCATGCGTCTTTGCTACGTAGCGAAGCTAATCGGTACTTCTATATTTTAAATAAAAACAAGGAAATAATTTTAAAACCCGCAGAAAAAGTACAGTTAAAATTGCCGAAAAAAACTATTTCAAAAATTCTACGCGGGAATACCTCAAATATTTAAATGCAATTAAAAAGTTCAAAAAGCAACCAGGTAGTAACATACGTAAACCAATGTTTATTGTGTTACGTGCATGATTATTTAATTTTATAATATATTCCACATTCATATGTAACAAAACCGTTCCGTACTTTTGTTGTCTCATTATTTTTATTATTTTTTTCATACTTTTTTCATCTGCTCTGTTCCATTTCTTTTTTCTTTTAAATTTCGTTTTTTTTTTTTTCAAAAGAAAACACATTACCGATTTCTGAGTTTCATGAAAGAGTTGAAAAACTAATAATCCCAAAATTTTTGACCTCATTAGTAAGTGATGCAGTATAAGCCATTTTCAAGGCAATAATGACTAATAATTAATGATAATAAATAACAATAACTAATAGTTAATAATAATAAAACAGCATAATAATAATGACAGTAAATCTCAAAGTGATTAAAAGGCGATTATTGAAAAAAATTTTGCTTATTTGAAGAATTCGTGTCCAAAAAATGGAAAGTGAACAAAATTGTTCACAAAAATTTTGGGAATCAATGAAAAAACGAGGTGAATTGGCACGTATTAAATTGAAACAAAAATTGGGAACGGAATTTACCACAAACTGTGATATTCAGCGTAGGCTGAAAGAGAAAAAGTAAGCTCACTATTTTTTGTCTTATTGTAAAAACAGATTTTACGAGAAACAGTGCATATTCCGGATTTTTGATCAGATTCTCTGAGAGAATTCTGATACTGTCATCACGGTCACTATGAAGTTTTCATGCAATGCAATCTTTTATAGAATTATAATCTGTGTAAAATTCTTAAACACAGACATTTTTAGTCAGATAATTATTTTTTTCTCAAACGTATGCAAATGATAGAAATTTTGATTTTTAGGATTACTTTAAATGCAAAGATATTTTAGTGATATTGGTTTATCAAAAAATGCACTTTAAAAGATGCTGAGAAAATTGACAGCATGCTTCATGCATTACAAGCAGAAAATGTATGACAGTGAGTGTTGAGGTCATCAATCAATTCTAGTGGAAACTAAAAAACGAACGGATTAGCTTTATGACATCTGTAGGAAATTAGGCTAAATGTGTGCCACAATTATCGTATAGAAACGCTTCTCATATAACTGGCTAATATCTATACATCTTTCTATTTAGCTAATCAGTTAACATTTCATTAATTCTTTAATGTTTTTTTTCCGCAATTTCGAGAGCGAAAAAATTATGTTCATTTGTATGTTTTTTTTTTTTTTATTTTTCTATTTCTTATGAATGAATTCTTTTTTGATATGTAGAACAAAAGAACAAGAACGAGCAGATGAATATCGGAATGAATTAAAGGCAATGAAACGACGAGTTCGCGCACGAGCGCTTATCGTTGAACAACAAGAAATGCTAATCAAAATGCAACGGTATTTGCATTTTTTTCTTATCTTTTAAATTTATCTTCACAATTATTAAATTTGAATTTAGATTTATGTATTTAACGTTGTTTAAAAAAATTATCTAAATTTGTTTATTAAATATATCATCCTACAGATGTTACAAGTCAATTTTGTATGGTAAATAAAAAGCAAAATAATGCTGCAAAATAAACGATTTAAATTGAACAAAATGAATTAACAAATTAAAAACATATTGAATCATTTTCAATAAATAGTATTATTCAAGTTATGAACCTTTTCGGGATGTTGTTTTTACCATTTATAATCCGTTGCATTTTCCATCAACGATGATTTTCTTAATTAATAACTACGAATTACATTAGTTACTGAGAAATGAGAAATGTATGCTAACAGATGGCTTAATCATTTATTGATGAAAATGAAAATGCTTTAAAGATACTGTTACGTTGATATCATTTGTTTTAGAAGACCTTCTTGTTATTTGTTTTACATGTATCATTGTGTAAAGTCAAAAAAGTTAAAGTAGAAGGTTATAATACATATCATCTTTCTCTTAACATGTAATCTGTTAGTGATAAAGAACAGCGAAATTTTCATTTTAATGAGTGAATAATAAGGTGGATAATAGCGATGGAAAAACATTTCTTCCAATTACTACATTTTCATTTGTCTTTTACTCATTATGGTATAATTTCTCCTAAAATGATTAAATTTAAGCTTTGAACGGAAATACAAAGAGACTGTGAAAGGGATACGAAGTAAAACACGAAAATTCAACATACAAAAACAATATCCAAGCATATTTAAACAAAGAACGACGATGACTAATTTTGATCAGCAAACAGTGATAATTTCAACGTTGGATCAAAGTAATGAAACGGTACGTTATCTTCGAATATTATTTTCTACTATTTAGATAATGTAAAATCATAAACGACTGTTGATTTCTTGAAATTTTTAACAAATTCATAAATAACAATGATAGACAAACGTGACCTTTGATTAACCTAACGCGGTGCAAAACCGATAAGATGCATATTTTAGGATGAAGTTAACATTATGCTGTACTTCCTTTTGCCAATAGTATATTTTTTATTTTTTAACATTAAATTTCAAGCTTTATATTAAAGTGAACATTTTATATAATATTTTATATAACAGATTTTTTAGCAAACTTCTAAAACGGAAGCCAATAGCGATAGTTTATTCATATTGGATAGCGATGATAAAGGAAATGAAGAACATGTTGATGAAGATAATGATAATGACGGTAGTGGTGGTGATAACAGTGATAGTAGTAATGATGGTATTGATTATGATAGTGATTATGATGAGGATGATAATAGTGATAGGGATAATGATGATGGTGATGATGGCGATGATGGTGATGATGGTGATGGTGATGACAATGATGGCAGCGATGATGGTGCGGAAGATGAGGAAAGTGAAAATGATAAAGATGGCTTTAACGAGAGTTTAGAATCAAAAAATAGTGAAAGTTCATTGGATAACCAGAAATTTGGTTTTTACACGATGCAAAAAAAGCAAAAAACTACTTCGATTTAAAACGTTTCAATCAATTTTGACAAGAATGTTTAAAAATTAATTTGTACTGCCATAGATGTTTGTATAATCGATATTTTTATTATTTATGTGATTTATAAATTTTAACTTTCGCTCAACTTTGATTTCGAATATCTTTTTTAGATCATTTATATGCTTCACTCTGTTCTATAGAAAGAGAAAACGTAGGAAGAATTAGCAAAATTGTTTGAGATTTGAAAATTAAATTAACAAACAATTTCAATATACAATCATATTGTTAGACTCCATTGCTTCAGTAAGAAAAGGAATATATTTCATAAAATTTTGCTCATTTAATAAATCACGTGGCGCGGAAAACTTTTATGTTATCAATGATGAAATTGAAAAGATAGAAGAAAAAAAATGAAAAAATTTATTAACGGACAATTGGAGATTATCGGTATATCATTGTATTTTTCGAAATAGATTTGAATTAGAGTAAGATAAGTAATAAATAGAAAGTTTTTTCAAGATAAAAGCAGAATTGATTGAAAATTTCTTGAAAAGCTACAAGTTATGTGGAAAATAATTGCGTGCATACAGACATATATCGTAGTAAAAGCAACACTTCAACTATCTTGTTAAAAATTCAATTTTAAAAAACTTGGAATTGCTATTTTAATTTTAAAAATTAAGCGGTGTGAAGAATTATTTGTTTATTTTCTTCACAATTCAGCTAAAAATTTAAAACTTATTGGGCTATTTTATTATAATATACACCGATAAAAGCTTCGGATGATGCACAGACTATCGTCTATACCTAACAAAAATTTAGTATGGTATGGAAGTTAAAGTTGTGGAATAATATTGTTGAAATGGAATTCATTGAGTTGATAAATCCCATTTCAAATTTTAACAAGTCCTGAATAGGAAAATACTTTCTCAGGTAAGATAAAAACACCGAAATTTTACTTATTAAATTGTTAAATGCGAAATTTCACTGTAATATCCACTGGAGCCTCAATTGTGAACTAATTTTTTTGGAGGAGAAAAATAGTTCTGTCTTTTTATTTTTCGTAGCCAATTGAAGAAGAAATTTCGCAAAATAATAAATTAAATTTTGATGTGAGAAAGCAAAATTTGCATATTTTCTAGTATCTTTCAGCAAAACAATGAAATTTTCCCTTATTTTGCCCTTTCCAAAAAGGGAAATCCCTTTCATGAATTTTTATGATTTCTTTTCCAA